ATACACACACATATACACAACACATACACGTACACCACATACATAATAACACCACATATACATACACATACCACACACACATACACTTCAAAAAGATACACACATATATACATACACACATTCACATACACAGAACACACACATACATATATGCACATACACAAATATACACACACATCATACACATGCATACACTTATATACACGTATCATACACATTATTATATACTGTTGGTTTAAATGTATAGTCTTTATTTCGCTATTTTTTACAAATTTACTTTTTTGGGAAATAAACAGTTGTGTGTACTTTCTAGAATGATCTTGTACTGTTATATATTAGATTTTCTTTTGAAACAAAAAAAATAACTGAACAAAACATTTGATGCTGGGTATGGTGCTTCCTACTGGCAGTCCTCCCACTTGGGAAACAGAGACAGGGGGATTGCCAAGTGTTGGAGGCCAGCCTAAGCTTCATCATAAGACCCTGTCTCCTTTTCCATCATGTGTGTGTGTCTGTGTGAGAGTGTATGACACACCTTATGGGTGCCAGTAGAGGACAAAAGAGAGTGTCAGAGCTCCTGGAGCTGGGCTTTCAGTTGCTTGTGAGTCGCTTGCCCTGGGTGCTAGGAATGAAATGCTGGAGCCTCTGTAAGAGCAGTGAGCACTCAACCACTGAGCCATTTCCTAGCTCCGAGACTCCATGTGAGAGGACAGGATTCATTGTTTGATTGGACTCGTAGCATGCACGAGAATGATAGCGAGTGTAGACGTTAAAATATGCCTGGTAGGGCTGGGGTGGAGCTCAGTCAGGGCGTGCTTGGGTGTGGATTCAATCTCCAGCGATAGGAAAACCAAAAACATGAAGCCCACCCTTAGCAGTTTGTTATTTATTAATAGAAGTTGGCCCTGTTATATGAGTGCAAAAAGCAGTCAAAGCAATATTTGTAGAATGAAACTTTCTTGTGGAAAACTTAGGGTTCATATGTATGCATAAAATGGCCTAGAACAGTGATTCCCAACCTGTGAGTCCCAATCCCTTTTGCAAACCTCTGTCTTCATAAATATTTAGGTTACAATTCATAACAGCAGCAAAATCACAGTTATGAAGTGGCAACAAAAATTATTCTGTGGTTGGGGGTCACCACCTGAGGAGATGTATTAAAGGGTCGAAGTATTAGGAAGGTTGAGAACTATTGGTCTGGAAGGTTACTTAAGAAGTTAATCTCTCTCTCTCTCTCTCTCTCCTCTCCCCCTCCCCCTCCCCCTCCCCTTGTCTTCTCTTTCCCTCCCTCTTTCCTTCCCTCCCCAACTCATTAGAGTCTGTAGTCCAAGCTGACCTAGAATTCTATGTAGCCCAAGCTGACTTTGAAGTAGTAGCAGTTCTCCTGCCTCAGCCCTAAGTGCTTAGATTATAGTTAGAAGCCCACAATCGGCTCCCCAAACCTTTCCTAACTTGTGCCTGAGCCTGCTCTGCCCAGATCCTTCTCCTTCCGCTGCGGCAGCTGCTCAGCCTCCGGTGCTCATCTTGTTTCCTAGTCCGCACTTCCAGGTTAGTGGCTGGGCCTTCTTTTTCCCCTTTCAAAGGCATAGTTGTGTGTGTGTGTGTGTGTGTGTGTGTGTGTGTGTTTTAAACTTCAGAGCATTATTGTACAGGACAGAGGGCCACACTTCGGCCTGCCCACTCTGAAATTTTTAAGTCGTTATTGCTCTGAGATCCCTGGGGACCCTCATCATGATCTCTGTTGGCATTTGAAGAGAGTAGGACCAGGAAAGCTCAAAGCTTCCTTTCAAACAGGGGCAGCGCTATTTACAGTCCTCCTTCACACTGGAGGTGAAAATCACACTGGAATTTATCTCTAAGCCAATTTTTCCTTCTCAAATGTCTTTACTACATATTTTCACTGTCCCCCATGACTGCTTGTTCCTAATTTCTCAGTAGATACAATGTCTTCATCCTTCTTTGGATTTTTTTTTTTTTTTTTTTTTTTTTTTGTACTGAGAGTTACTCTTGCTGAGGTTCAACTATCCAAAGTGACTCCAGTTTTTCTGGACGTCAAGCGCCCAACATCAGAATCTCCAGAGACTCCTTTCAGTACTTGTCTCACTTGTTTCTCCTCGGCTGCACAAGACTGGGGAAGCTCACTCTGTCCTCCAGACCTCAAGCATGTTCTTTTCCCTCTGACTTTGCCCCTGCACTCCATCATTTAGGGTCTGCAGCCCTGGCTCTTTGGGGGGCTTCTTGGCCTTCTTTTCATCTCTCTTTATCCCAAGCTCCTCCGCTGTCTTGGCTGTTCTTCACTGGGTTTCTTTCAGTGTCTGGAGCTGGGGCATTCTGTGATCTGGAGTGGCTAAATCTTCTACACTGGCTTCTGCTTCTTCCATTCTCAGGATGCTGCTAATCTGCTCTTCCCTGGGATCAATTCTGATGGAAAGGATTCCCAGGTGTTTCATTTTCACAGGCTCAGGTGACCTGTGTCTCTCTAGGAGCAGCTCTCTGATTCTCTGTAGGAGCAGCCCTCTGATTCTTAGGTTCGGCTTTTCACCTGTTGCTTCCTGCTGAGGTGACACATCGCAGACACACTTCTATCCCTTGCAGACTTCCTCTTGGGGGACAGGGAACATTGCTCAAAGGCATAGATCTTACAGGGCAGCCACTGGAACACGGGGACTGTGGAGGTGGGGGATTAGTATAATAGTTGTTAATAGGAGTGTGAGCCTGGTGACATTGCTTCTGAAGTCAGGAAACACAGAGAGGGTGATGAATGATGGTGTTCGGCCCACTTTCGCCTTTTTATTTACTCTAGGACTCTGGTCCTCCATGAGGCTAGTGCTGTTCACATTTAAGATGGTGTTGAGTGACCAAACTTTTCCTGGGGAGATGCAACACACACACACACACACACACACACACACACACACACACACACACATCTACTCACCCCAGAAAAAGAACACACAATAGACTAAAGTACAGATACCACCAAAGTCCAACTTGGGGAGTTTATTGGTGTTATTTACAGGAATGTGGATGAGGAGTCATTACAGGAGCAGAAATGACTCAAAGACAGCTGTATCACCAAAGCCCACCTCAGCATGAGTGACAGCTCACAAAGCTGGGAACCTGGAGCTCGCTGAACAGCCTGAAGGCAGCTCAACAGGTTGGAGAGTGTCCTTTCCAGGTGCCCCATTGGTCTAACCCTCTTCCAGGCAGCTCAGCTGGTTTCTGCTTCTTCCCATCAGCTGGTCTGGTCTCGGAGTCTTCCTTTCAGCTTTGCCTGTCTGAGAGTCTTCTTTACAGTTCTGAGAGGAATCCTAAGCTTTTATTGTTTCTGGAAATTATTACTTATTATTCTGGCAGGGAGGGGCAGAGCAAATCTAGTTGGTTTCGGGGACTTCCTGAAGCCTTTTGAGTTGTTTATGTTCATGCTTAAAAAGCTTCCCTGCAGGATGGAATGTTTCAATCTCAGGGGAAACTGTTACACAACAGGTGGGTCTTCCCACATCAGAAAGAGGAGGGGGGAGGGGGGAGGGGGGAGGGGGAGGGAGGGAGGGAGAGAGAAATAGGGTAGGGGAGAGAAGAGGGGGAGAGAGAGGGAGAGGGAGGGAGGGTTGATAAATCTCTGAGGTGTGTAATGGTTCCTCTTAATATCAACTTGACAGAATCTGCAGCCTCCTGGGAGATGGGACACTGGGCATGCCCCTGGGTAATTATCTTGTGTTAATTGCTGTGGGAAGACAAGGCACCATTCTCTAGGGAGAGGATCTTGGGCTGTGTGAGAGTAAAGAGATCAATCTCAGCAGGAGTGCATATGCGTTCATTGTTGTCTGTTCCTGACCTAATGGAATGTGGCCAGCTGACCGGTCTCCTGTCTTCGTGACTTCCCCTTTATGATAGGTTATAGGTTATAGGTTATAGGTTATAGGTTATAGCTTGGAACCGTGAGCTAAACAAAATCATTTCTCCTCCCAGGTGCTTCAGTCAGGATATTTCATCACAGCAACAGGAAATAAATTAAGACAAAGTGATTCTAGATCTTGTCTAATTGGCAGTGTATATATGCATGTGTGTGTATATGTGTATATACATATTGTTACTGTTATTAATTAATTTATTTTTTAATTGAAACAAAGTCTCTCTCTCCGTGGTCCTAGCTGTCCTGGAACTTTCTATGTAGACTAAGCTGGCCTGGAACTCACAGAGATCCATTTCCCTCTAACTCCTGAGCACTGTGCACTACTTCTCCTGGCTTTATATGTAACTTTTAAACATTTATTTCTGTGTGTGTGCACATGTAGGGAGGTCAGAGGCCAACTTTAGGAGTCAGTTCTCTCCTTCCACCGTGTGGGTTGCAGGGATCAAACTCAGGAGGTCAGGCTTGGTGGCTAGTGCCTTTACCTGCTGAGCCATCTCAGCGGTCCTCAAGGTGACAATATTAACTATTAACAAAGTCTCCTGTAGCCCAGACTAGCCTCAAACTCCCCGCATAGCTGAAGATGACCTTGAACTCCTGGTCCTCCTGCCTCTACCCCCAAGTTCGGGGATCACAGGTGGGAACGACCATGCCCAATCTTAGGAATGAATTTGTTTTTCCTACATGGAGTCTTTTCACTACATAGTGTAGTTGACCTGGAACTTGCTATATAGATCAGGCTGACTTCAAACTTCCTCTCCAGTGCTGGGATTAAAGGAGGGTGCCACCATACCTGGACCTTGGGGATGGATTTTTTTTAAAGGTCCCTGTTTTTTTTTGTTTAGTTTTGTTTTTTGTTTTGTTTTGTTTTGTTTTTTTTGTTTTGTTTTGTTTTAATTACTAACACAGTTTGCCCTGGGGAAAGATTTTAGATTTTAGTTCCTACATCTTTGCTCAGTTAGACACCATTGTTCAGGACTCAAACTGTCAGAGCATAAAACTGAAGTTCTGAGACCCCTTCCTAGCATTTATCCTTTAGAAGTCTTGCCTAATTCTCTGTAGTAATTACATTCCTGTCCATCTCCTCCAGCAGACTGGAGCCTGGGAGGACAATACACTAGTCATGTTGAAGATAACAGACCTGACCCGAGAGCGGTTGCCAAATGAAGCAATGTGTGGCTCTTTTAAGCCATCAAGGTACATCATCACATGGTTTTCTTTTTCTAGTAAGATCATGTATGTTAAATGCTCGTCCTACATGATGGCACTGTTTTTTTTTTGTTTTTTTTTTTTTTTGACTCCTGTGAATATGTGGTTTGTGGCCAAAAATTAGGAACTTAGCTTTCTTGGAAAATAACCTGATCCGTGTCAGCGGAATGCATGATGCTGAGAAGGACATAGGAATCCCGGGACCGCGGCCAGAAGGAACCTATAAGTCATCTTGTCAAACGTCCCCGCAGGAAATCACAGATTAGAATTTTCTCATCTGTAAATGGAAAGATTGGGCGAGTGACCTCGTGCACCCAGTACTCTGTGATCTAGCTCAGGTCAGCCAAGTGCTGAGTGGCAGCTAAAGACTGGCCTGCTAATGGAAATGTGAAACGATTTTCCCGTCAAGTGTTCTGAGTAACTCTCGGAGGCAGCAGCCAGTCCCGCGGGCGGCATCCTCGGGTGTACCAGCTGCCAAAGATCAAGGACTAGGAGTTTGGGGATAATGTTCCCCGTAAGATCCCATGTGGTAAAAAGATGGAGAGGCTCAGTTTTCTGTGGTTTGTTAAGGCATCCCCGAGTTAATGGGGATGATATTTATACCTCCCTTATGTGCCTTGGAAACCAAACACACGACACAACCCTCTTAACTCATCTGTGGATGTAATGCTATCTGTTGTTAAATAGAAAAATGGAGGAAAAAATTCTAGAAATGCCCTGAGCATGCTGGAGATGGGACAGGAGAGTCAGGGGTGAGGGTCAGCCTGAGCTACACAAGGAGTTTGAAACCAACCAGCGCTCCATGAGACCTTGTCTCAAAACACTAAAAAAGGGCCATGGAGATTTGCTCAGTTGGGTAAAGGCAGCTGCCACCAACCCTGACAGCCAGAGCTTAATCCCTGGAACCTATGGAGTGGAAGGACAGAGTCCTGCAAACTGTCCTCTGACTTCCAACATGCTTGCCTGTGGCATACGTGTGCACTCACGTGTGTGTGCCACCCATACCCAATAAATACATAAATGGGATAAATGTTTTAAAAGGAAATTGTGATATTAATTATTATGTGTGTGTTTGTTTGTGTGTGTACGTACGTGTGCACACATGTGGAAGCCAGAGGTTGAAGCTGAGTGTCTTTCTCATTCCTTCTCTTCCTTATTTTTTGAGACAGTCTTTCACTGAACCTGGAGCTCCTCTGCAGAGGAACAACTTGAACTTTTTCTTTAAAGATTTATTTATATTTTTATGTCGGTGAGTGGTTTGGCCACATGTGTGTCTGTTTACCACATGTGTACAGTGCCTGTGGGGACCAGAAAAGGGCATCAGAACCCCTTGGAGATGGAGTTACCTATGTTGCTAGCTACCATGTGGGTGCTGAGATCTGGTCCTCTGCAGTAGCAACAAGTTTTCTTAACTACGGAGCCAGCTCTCCAGTCCAAAACCCCCCTTTTAAAAAGGATTTATTTATTTATTTATTTAAAGCGTTTCTTCTTCTTTTTTAAAATATTTATTTATTTATTTAATGTAAACGAGGGACCTATCTTCAGGAACACCAGAAGAGAGAATCAGATCTCATTACAGATGGTTGTGAGCCACCATGTGGGTACTTGGAATTGAACTCAGGACCTCTGGAAGAGCAGCCAGTGCTCTTAACCGCTGAGCCATCTCTCCAACCCCGATTTATTTATTTTTTTAATTATGTCTATGTGTGTATATGTTTGCTCATGTGTGTGCTGTGCCCTCAGAGGCCAGAAGAGTGTGTCAGAACCCCTGGAGACAGAGTTATAGGTAGTGTGAGCTGCCTCATGTGGTGCTGGGTCCTTTGCAAGGGCAATATATGTTCTTAATTATGGAGCTGTCTCCAGGCCCCAAACCTCCATCTTCTGATCCTTCTCCTCCATCTCCCAAGCATTGAGATAACGGGCATATGCCACCCACCCAGCTCAACTGTGTGCTTTTATCTTTCCTCAATACATTGCTTAGCACGCACGCACGCACAATATTAAAAGAAAAACTATACCTTCATTAAATGAAACAGATAGATATAGGATGGCATGCTTGGACCATCAGAGCACACAGTAGTTGCAGTGATATGATTTAGGTTTTTGAAGAGTGATAGCCCAGCAAGAGCTAGGCATATGAGGCCTGGGGCCAGAAGTGCAGCTCAGTGGAGAGGGCCTGCTTAGCATACATAGACCCTGGGATCCACCCTCCATCAAAGGGAGGGAGAAAGGCCCGCTTGGATTCCATAAACTCTGTCTAGAGTCAGCATTCTGAACCAGAGGCCTCAGGAGGTGGACCTCGCAGTGGCTGCTGCTCCCCCCAGTTACTGGTTTTCGCTGGAGTTCCCTTTTTATTGTCATAATAAGTGGCTGTTGTGCTATTTTAGGTTCAATTGGTGTTTTTCTCTTTGACTGTGTAAGCAAAGAGCCTACGGATGAAAAAGACTCATTTTCTTTAAAGAACTCAGCATTAAACAACTTAATTAAGCCGGGCAGTGATGGCTCACGCCTTCAATCCCAGCACTTGAGAGGCAGAGGTAGGTGGATCTCTGTGAGTTCGAGGCCAGCCTGTTCTACAGAGCGAGTTCCAGGACAGCCAGGGCTACACAGAGAAACGCTGTCTCAAAAAAATCCAAAAATCAAGCCAAACCAAACCAAAAACAAAAAACTTAATTAATTAATTTGTGTGTGTGTGTGTGTGGTGTGTGTGTGTGCATGTGTGCACTCCTGAGCGCATGCACAGCAAATGTGTGAAGGTCAGAGGACAGCTTTGGGAACGAGCTCTCTCCCTCCAGTGTTTGGGTTCTGGGCCTTGAACTCAGGCTTGGCAGCAATTGAGCCATCGTACAGGCTCTCGGCATTTTGTGTTGTTTTTCCATTTCTGTGTTGTTTTTAATTTTAAATTATTTTTATTTATTTCGTGTGTATGAGTGTTTGCCTTCATATATGGTATGCACACCACATGCACGTGGAGGTCAGAAGAGGGTGGGACACCCCAGAACTGGAGCTGTGGGTGGCTGTGAGCTAACACAGGAGTGCTGGGAATCAAACCCAGGTCCCCTGCAAGGACAACAAGTGCCCTTAACCACCGAGCCATCCCTGTAGCCCCTTTTCCTGTGTTTTCTGAGATAAGATCTAATGTAGCTCAGGTTGGCCTTAAATGACCTAACAAGGGCTGGAATCTAGGCATGTGCCATCACAGCCACATTTTTTATCTCCTAATTTTTTCTTGTCTTAAAGTTACTACCACTATCAATTTTTAGGCAGGGTCTTGCTAGTTGCCCAGGCTAGTCCAGCTTTGATCCTCCTGGTCCGGCCTCTTCCGCAGCGCTGTGATCGGAGGGTTGTGCTACCACTTCCTGCTCCGTCTTTATTACGTTAGCTTTGGAAGAGGCTTCAGACCGGGCATCACAAAAAAAAAAGAGCAACCCAGGGACTTTTTTGTTGTTGTTTTCTTATTTTGGAACTTGACGATTAGCAAAGAGAGCCCTCTGCTGGCCAAAGTGGCATAGTACTAGAGCTGGTCAGTGGCCAGGCCAAAGGCCACCATGGCGATCAGCTGTCTTTGGGTTTTTCAATTAGCAAATTGATGCGGTTCTGTTTTTTCCGCTGTCAACTCAGGTTTGTTTGGAGCTCGTGAAAGTGATCTATAATCCCCAACCCATTCTCCCCTGCCCATTCATGTGTAGCTGAGGGTGACCCTGAACCTCCCCTCTTTCTGCCTCTGCCTCCAAGTGTTAGGGTTACAGGTGAGCACCCCAACTCAGTCTTATGCAGTACTGGGGTTGAAGAACTCTGCGCATGCTAGACGAGCACTCTGCTAATGGAGCTGCGTCCTCAGTCTCTCATTGTTTATGTTTTAATAGTGGGGGGGCGGAGTTCTTGTTGGATATGGGAGCTCATACCTGTAGATCCAGGCACTTGGGAAGTTGTATGGAGGACTGCATGAGTTTGAGGCCAGCCTGGGCAACAAAGTGAGTTATAAGTCAGCCTGGACTACTCCCCCACCCCATGTAAAAGAAAAAAAAACCCAAGACCAAAGAAGAGCTGATCACGGTGGTGGTGCACATGTTTAATCCTAGCATTTGGGAGGTGGAGGCAGGATTGGTCATCAGCCACACATACTGAGCTCAAGATCTTTCTCAAAAAAGAAAAAAGAGGGGAGGGAGACAGAGAAAAAAGTTAAAAGGCTCACCCTTCATACTTGTTGAAAATAATAACTATCAGCTCAGCCCTGAAATAACTCCTATATCTTATCATCTTTGTTTCCCTTTTCTGCCCCCCCCACTGCGCTACTCCCCCGACTGCCCTCCCCTCCCCCCACTTCCCTGTCTCCTCTCCACTGCGCTGCACCCCCCTGCCCTACCCCCTCCCAGCGCCCCCCCCCCAGCTCTGTGTCAGTGGTCCGGTGCCCCCCTCCCCCCAGCCACTTCGCTGCCTCCTCTTCCTAAGCGAGACAAAATAAAACCGATCTTCCTTCAGAAGTGGTGCGGATGGAAAGTGAGCCAGGGCAGTGGCTGCTTATCTCCAGCGGACCCCAAGCTGAATGCCAGGGCTGGGGCCCGACTGGTGCCACACACCTGAGAAGAGCTGGACTTTGAATGATGTCCCTGGCGGCTTCGTTGACCGTGGGAAAGCCGGTGCACAATGGAGGAGTGCTAGGCTGGCTATCTAGAGGAGAAAAGGGGCTCTCCTGGGGATAACACTGAGTTTCTCTGGTGTACTTGGACAGAACTTACCCTAATTACATTTTTTTCTGAAATAATAATCTTATATAGACCAGGCTGACCTAGAACTCTTGATCCTCCTGTTTCTAAAGATGGTAGGCATGTGCTACCCCTAACTCCCAGCTGGTGTGTCTTTGCATAATCTTTATTATTGTTATTATTATTATTAATTATTAAAATTTGAGACAGGGTCTCGCTATGTAGTCCTGACTGTTCTGAAACTTGTTACGTAGACCAGGCTGTCCTTGAACTCACAAAGGTTGTTCAGCATCCTTCTAGGAAGCCCCCATGGCTGCATGCTCCCACATGAGCACCTGGGTCCATTAGTCAGCCACCTGGCAGCTTCTACAGCAACCTAAGCAATTTTTTCTCCTTCCTCTAAATTTACTTTGAAGCTGGGCATAGCTTATACACCAGTGATCCCAACACTTGGGAGAGGAAGGTCAAGGTCAGCTGGGGCTATATGAGAACTTGTTTCAAAAACAGAATAAAGGGCTGGGAAAATGGCTTGAGTACAATACTTGTCCCACAAGCATGAACACTCCCAACACTCAAGTAAAACGCTGGGCTCCATGGCATGTTTTTTTTATTCTTTTGGCTATTTTGGGACCTGCCACCTAGCTCCCAAATAAGTCACAAGAAATCTTATTATTTCTTATGAATGCCCAGTCTTAGCTTGGTTTGTTGCTATCGAGCTTTTCTTTCTTTCTTCCTTTTTTTTTTGTTTTTTGTTTTTTTTGTTTTTTTTTTTTTGTTTTTCGAGACAGGGTTTCTCTGTGAAGCTTTGTGCCTTTCCTGGAACTCAACTTGGTAGCCCAGGCTGGCCTCGAACTCACAGAGATCCGCCTGGCTCTGCCTCCTGAGTGCTGGAATTAAAGGCGTGCGCCACCACCGCCCGGCACTAGCGAGCCTTTCTTAAATTATCTCATCTACCTTTTGCCTCTGGGCTTTTACCTTTCTCTATTTCTGTATATCTTTTCTGGTTCCTTGATCTTTTTTTCTTTCCCAGATTTCTCCACTCATTTATTCTCCCTGCCTGCCAGCCCCACCTATCCTTTCTCCTGCCTTGCTATTGGCCGTTCAGCTCTTTATTAGAACAATCATGTGTTTTAGACAGGCACAGTAACACAGCTTCACAGAGTTAAACAAATGCAACATAAAAGAGTGCAACATATGCTTGCATCATTAAACCAATGTTCCATAGCATTAACAAATGTAACACATCTTAAAATAATGTTCCACAACAATGGCGCGTGCCTGAAGTTTCCCTGCTGGGTAGGCAGAAACAGGCAGATCCCTAGAGCTCACTGGCCCATCAGCCTAGCAGAATTAGTGAGCTCTAGGTTCAGAGAGACTGTCTCAAAGACTAAGGGGGAGGGCTGGCGAGATGGCTCAGCAGGTAAAGGTGCTTGCTGAGTAAGCTCGGTGGCCCGAGTTCAGTTAGGAACGCACATAAAGGTGGAAGGAGAATTCTACAAAGTTCTCCTTTGAGCTTTGCAGGAGTGCTGTGGCACTCACACAACATACCATGTACACACAATAGTAATAAATACAATTTAGAAATATATTCAAAAAAACTAAGGTGGATATTGACCGAGGAAGACAACTGGCGCACACGCACGCACGTACACACACACACACACACACACACACACACACACACACACACACACACACACTGAGAAGTAAAAGTTGTGTGGTTTGCCTTAAGCTTGAATGTATCAAAGTTGCCTCTTCCTGTACCTGTCCCTACTTCCTTGGTGTGATACGGTACATTTTATTGCAGGTGCAGTCTCTTAATCCAATAGGCGAAGTGTTTAATTCTAGGAATTTCAGATACTATAGTGAGCCATATTTGACTTTATTATTACCTTCCCCCACCCCCGTGCTGGGGACCAGACTTTGGGCCTTGCACATACTAGATAAGCTCTCAACACTGATCACCTCTACACCCAGCCTGTAATTGTACAGTTTTATAAAACAAAGTGCCCTTGTAAGAGTTTCAAACTACACCCTGTAGGTCCCGATACTGGTATACTGTTTGTATACTGTATATTGTGTATTATATTATTGTATTATACAGTATATTGTATAATATTTGTTTGCTTATTTATTTAGTTATGAGCAAGGTCTCATATGGGCCAGCTGGCCTTAAACTCACTATGTAGCCAAGGATGACCCTGAACTCCTGATCTTCCTGCCTCCACCTCTAAAGGGCTAGGTTAACAGGTGCGTGCCAACACTCCCAGCTTCGTTGTTTGTTATTCTGAGACAGGGCCTTGCTATTTAGCTTCCGGTGGCCTGGAACTCTCTATGCAGACCGCTTGAAGTCATACTCTTTCTACATCTGCTTGTCGAGTTCTGGAATTACAGGCCTGGGGTACCAGGCTGGGCCACACCGTTGATGTTTACTGAAGTTTTGTGAGTGATAAATTGTCTCCCTCTGTTGTTGCCACAAAATTACGTTTTGGGGCAGACAAGGTGGCTCAGCAAGTGAAGGATGGCTTGAGTTCAATTCTCAGGTAGAAGGGGGAGCTGACTCCAGCAGGTTTTCCTCTGACCTCCACACACATGCAAATAATAAATTAAAATGCGGTAAAAGAACCTTTTTTTGCATTTATAATTACTTAGGGGCTGCTCACAATGTATGCTGGACCATATTAAGCCCTGAGGTGATCACAAAAGAAGTTTGCCTGGGACCCATCTGTCTCCTGCCGCTGTCCACAAGATGGAGAAGGCGGAAGCAACCCGAGGAGCCGTCTTTGTCTGTAAGGATAGAAGGTCCATTGTGGAGGGGAGAGAGACAGGAACTATATAGGCGAGGCCCTACCAGCCCCGCATCTCTTATCTCCAGAATTCTTTTACAGAAAAGAAAAATAAACTTTTATCTGGTTTAAGCCACTACTGTTTCTAGGCTCTGTTACTAGCTGCCAAATGCGTGTGTTAACTGATAGAGAAGTCCTTGATGCATTTTGAGCAAGGGGGACGGGATTCTGCCCATTTGGTGGCTCTGCAGGGGTGGATTTCGGGGAGTGGAGCATCCTGGAGAGCACCAGGAGGTAAAGAAGGCTTGGCAGGTGGGGCAGACAGTGAGAATACACCTCACAGGGTCACTGATTTTCTTTTCCCCCAGGACACCTCTGCTGAAGTGCTGTTATACAGTGGCTATTGAAATGTCTATTGATGGAGTAACTTGAAGTCCGCTATTGTCAACTGGCCTCAAAGCTGGGCCATTGAGTAGATGGGTGCTCTTTGTGCCTAAAAAAGCAGCAGGTGAAGGACGGAGCAGGAAAGGGGTATCAGCATTACAGGAAAGTCAAGTGAACTCCCTGGAGGGGTCTCCAAGGAAAGGAAGTTTTGTTACATGTGACCGTCTAATGAAGATACATTCGAAGTCTGATGGAAATTGTTTTTAACTAGGTAGCAAATTCAAATGATGTCCAAAACATATACCCTGCTGTAACTTATAACATGAATTCACATGCTGCAGATTTCTAAAAAGGGGACCATGGATTTTTTACTAGCTTTAAGGTGCATGTAATTCACTGAGAATGGCTATCTCTTCATCATTAACTCATCATTGTGAGGTTAGGAAGGACTTCCACATTTTACATTAGACATTTACTGTTTACACGGACCATAAAATATGATCTGTCTCAAATTACACACAAAGGCTTATTCCTAATTATAAATGCCCAGCCTTAGATTGGCTGGTTTCTAGCTAGCTTTCCTTAATTTTAAATTATCCTGTCTGTCTTTTGCCTCTGGGCTTTTTCTTTCTCTATTTCTGTGTATCTTTCTCTGTGGCTGGCTGTGTGGCTGTGTGGCTGGCCACCCTCCTCTCCTTGTTCTCTTGCTCTTTCTTTTCCTCCCAGCTTTTTCCTTCTATTTATTCTCTCTGCCTGCCAGCCCCACCTATCCTTTCTCCTGCCTTGCTATTGGCCATTCAGCTCTTTATCAGACCATCAGGTGTTTTAGACAGGCACAGTAACACAGCTTCACAGAGTTAAACAAATGCAACATAAAAGAATGCAACACATCTTTGAATCATTAAACAAATGTTCCACAGCACAAACAAATGTAACACATCTTAAAATAATATTCTACAACAATTACCAAGCTCTGGTTCTAACTCATTCTTTGAGCCTAGCACTTTGAAGACTGAGGCAGGAAGATGGCTGCTATGGAATAATTCTTCTGCACATTCTGTGAAGATTTGTCACTATGATTGGTTTAATAAACAAGCTGACTGGCTAATAGCTGAACAGGATAAAGTTAGGCATGAAAGCCAAATTGAGAATGATGAGATGAGGAAAGGCAGAATCAGAGGAGTCTCCAGCCAGATGCAGAAGGAGCAGGAGATGAATGTGCCATGCTAATAAAGGTAGAATGTAAATGAGTAATATGGGTTAACTTAAAATGTAAGAGCTAGTTAGTAATAAGCTTGAGCTATCGCTGAGCATTTACAATTAATATGTCTCTGTGTGCTTATATTAATAATTTATTAATTATTTGGAAGCAGTTCCCAGGACAGGAAAACTCCACCTGTAGATGGCTGTGAGTTTAAGGTCAGCATGGGTGACGTAGTGAGTTCTAGGGCAGCCTGGCTACGGTGTTAGACTTTCCTCTCAAAAGATACAAAACACAAGTTCTGTTCCGCAGCACACGTGGTAAGCAGCACAGAGGTTAGCTGGCCCCTGTGTAAGGCCCTGGGTGTTTTACCATCTTTTTCTGCTGTGACCTAACCAGTAAGAAGCCTGAGTCCAGGGCCAGTGAGATGGCTCATCAGACAAAAATGCTTTCCACTCCAGACTGACAACCCGAGTCTGATCCCGGAACTGACTCCTGAGGATTATCTTCTTCTGCCTGCCTCATTTGTACCTTGGCATCTATATGTCTGGACAAACACACACCACATGTTTCTCTCTTTCTCTCTCTCACATACATATGTAACAACTACTACTATTACTACTAATAATAAATTAAATTAAAAAATAAATCTTAATTCCAAGGCATATATGTAGCTAGAGTTTTCCTGGTCCTGCTTGGCCCACAGTCAGGACAAATCTCTCTTACCCTCCGGTCCCACAGCTGCTCAGACCCAACCGAGTAAACACACAGAGACTTATATTGCTTACAAACTGTATGGCCATGCCACGCTTCTTGTTATCTAGTCCTTATATCTTAAATCAACCCATTTCTATCAATCTATACCTTGCCACGTGGCTCGTGGCTTACCGGCATCTTCACATGCAGCTTGTCATGGTGGCGGCGGCTGGCAGTGTCTCTCTGCCTCAGCCTTCTACTTCCCAGAATTTTCCTTTCTCCTTGTCCTGCCTATACTTCCTGCCTGGTTACTGGCCAATCAGTGTTTTTTTTATTAACCAATCAGAGCAACACATTTAACATACAGAACATCCCACAGCACATGTATCTCTTGTGAACTAAAGGCACTAGCTTACTATTCCATCTTTTTGTTTTCTTAAAACCTGAGTTGGGGGCTGGAAAGATGAGTCAGAAGTTAAGAGCATAGGCTGCTCTTCTGGAAGATCCAGGTTTGATTCCCAGCACCCAGGAGGCAGTTCACAACCATCTATAGCTCCAGTTCCAGCCCTCTTTTGGCCTCCCTGGGCACCAGGCACAAACATGGTGCACAGATATGCTGTGGGATGGTCTGTATGTCAAATTGCTCTGGTTGGTCAATAAATAAAACACTGATTGGCCAGTGGCTAGGCAGGAAGTATAGGCAGGACTAACAGAGAGGAGAATTGAAAGAACAGGAAGGCAGGAGGAGACACTGCCAGTCGCTACCATGACAAGCTGCATGTGAAGATGCCGGTAAGCCACGACCCATGTGGCAAGGTATAGATTTATAGAAATGGGTTAATTTAAGATATAAGAACAGTTAGCAAGAGGCCTGCCACAGCCATACAGTTTGTAAGCAATATAAGTCTCTGTGTTTACTTGGCTGGGTCTGAGTGGCTGTGGGACTGGCGAGTGAGAGAGATTTGTCCTGACTGTGGGCCAGGCAGGGAAACTCTAGCTACACAGATATGTATGCAGACAAAACACCATATGAATAAAATAAATAGCCAGGCGGTGGTGGCGCACACCTTTAATCCCAGCACTCGGGAGGCAGAGCCAGGCGGATCTCTGTGAGTTCGAGGCCAGCCTGGGCTACCAAGTGAGTCCCAGGAAAGGTGCAAAGCTACACAGAGAAACCCTGTCTCGAAAAATTTAAAAAAAAAATGAATAAAATAAATAAATGAATCTTTTAAGAATATGAGTTGAGACCCTCAAGTTCCTTTCAGACTTGACATGAACAAGTAACTAGAAGCCTCAATACACCTCCAAATTTCAGGTCTCTTGAAGCACTGCCCTTTAGGCTTTCTCTTCACTTAGGGAAGGACAGATGCTACCTGAAATACCTTTTGAATTGATCATGTCTCCTCATCCTTTGCCTTGATTTTATCAAAATGACATGCAAGAATTCAAATACTACTGAATATTCAGTTGCAGACTTCTACACTTCTGCCAAAGGATTTTATTAGTAACATGAGTTAACCTTCAATTTATTCAAGGTAATTTTCTTTTTTCTTTCTTTCTCCTGTTTTTGTGGTTGTTGATTGTTTTTCTCTCTCTCTCCTTCCTCCCTTCCTTCTCCTCCCCCTTTTAAATTCAGTCTTGCGATGAAGTAGCCTGTTACTTACTACGTAGCCCATAACTCTTGGTGATCCTCTTGCATCAGCTAGGTTTGCAGGCTTGTGTCACCATGTCCAGCTTCAAATATTAGAGTTTGAATGACACTTCCCTGGAGTTCCTGAGTTGCATTTTGCTAAGATCTGCACACTGGAGAAAGTAAACAGAAAAGTGCAATTTGCTACACGCACATTCTCTGTCTCCACTTAAATGATAGCTTAAACAATATTAAACAATGGCTCCCGTTTATGAGGTGCTGTGTGCAGGCAGCTAAGCTGCTGATCCATAGTTTAACCCTGATGAAGATTCTGGGAAGCAGCCATATTGTCGAGGAAACAGTTTCAGAGCTGTGGCTCAGGGTCACAGTGAGCAGCTGAACAAGGGCAATTTAAGGTCTTGCTGACTCCTGTGTGGCTCAGAGGCTGACCTGTCACTCTTATAAATAATCTGGAGGAGAACAAGGCCAACTGTCTCCGGGTGACACTTGATCCCACATTTATCCTTTCACTCTGCCAAACTGAAAGGCCTTATGGTGATTAAATATTTCTGGCCAGCAATGCCCTGCCATTTTGTTGAAAAATGATACACTGATATCTTTTATAGTCTCTTTTTGTTGTTGAGACAGGGTCTCATGAAGTCCAGACCAGTCTGCAATTCATTGTGTATCCAAGGATGACCTTTAACTTCTAATCCCCCTGCTTCCACCTTCTAAATACCAAAACTAAAGGTGTGCCCAGTTTATCAAACCAAGGGCTTTGTGCATGCTGGGTGAGCACTCTACTAAGTGAACCACATCTCCAGCCCTGTAATTGTTTCCATAAAAACAAACATTCTGTGCCAGCATTAGCTGTCTAGAGAGGGGGATATGCTGCACAAGCCTCCCCAATCACTGTAGTTCATCGAGGATGCAGTGTGGAGGGTCCATTCCTTACACTGTCTCTTACTGGATGGACAGGGCTCTGCCCCAGGGAGGGCCCGTCTCTGAACGTCAAATAGTAATCATCAAATGACAAACCACACACACACACACACACACACACACACAAAATACCCCAACAAACAAAAGCAAAACAAAGGTAAGTGAAATAAACAGAGGACTGGCGAGATGCTCAGTTGGTAAAGGGGGTTGCTGCTAAAGCTGACAACCTGATACTTGGAACCCCAGTGGTGGAGGGAGAGAACCAGTCCAAGGTTGTTCTCTGAACCCCTTATTTTGTTTCTCGGGACAGGGTTTCTCTGTGTAGTTTTGGTGCCTGTCCTGGAACTCACTCTGTAGACTATGCTGACTTCTAACTCACAGAGATCCACCACCACTACTCAGCTTGTTCTCTGAATTCTATGCTCATGTACACACACACACACACACACACACACTAATAATAATAATAACAATAACAATAATAATAATAATGATAATAATAATAATAGTAAATATAATTAAAAACAACAAACTCGCAGCCCCACTGAGTTTAAATGACTAAAGGGCACATCTTTATGTCTCTGTGCTCCAGTCTCTCCTGAGGCAGATGGAATGACATCCCTTTCAAAGGTGGCTAGAGCTATGAGAAGAAAAATGTTGGTTGTCATTTTCCTTAGGGAGAGGGAGGAGCAAAGAAATCCCTTCTCAAAGGATGAAGGACATTTTGTTGTAAGAGAAGCATGCTGAGCTCCCAGCAGTTTTGGTCAGACTCTTTTTTTGGATTTTTTTTTTTTTTTAAGGTTTTTAGGGCAGAGTAGGAGTTTGTTAGGAGATTCTCATGTGGAATTGAAGCCCTATGGTTAAGAGAAAGGAAGGTGGGAAGGAAGAAAGTGAAACCCAACCAAGAACTAGGATGTGGGTTTCTCAAAGAAGACTTACCCCTTGCACGTTTTGAGTCCACATTGGGGTTGGTGTTTCTCCAACACTGCGTTTTTTCCAAGGCAGAGAAAACTCCCGATCAAAATCATGTATCTGCTAAGGCCTGCAGGCAAGCCTGTCGTGTGTTTTCTTGAGTAATGATTGCTATGGAAACGGCCCAGCACACTCTGGATGGTACCACCCCTAGGCTGGTGGCCCTC